CTTATAACATCCCTTGATTGTTGAACGATGATTATTAAAATTATGAGCGATACAAATAAAAACTTTTCTTATTGCCTATAAATATTAAAATTTAAACATTATATAATGCGTTGGAATTATGAGATAGGATGTAGTCATATCTTTAATGGTTGAACTTAATAAAACATTTTATACTAATTTGCTACTTACATATTACAAATTGTTTATTTTTATGAGTTAGTGATTTTTGCGACGAGTACACACTTCGATTACATTATTTCCATTAGACGGGCTGGAATAATGAAAGAACCATTATGATATTCGAATTTCATCCAGTCTTAGACTTACTTACCTTATTTAAAAAATAGAATATTCCATCACAATTTTGAAATAGTAAATATTATTTACGAACAATTTACAAAAAAAAAAACAAAAAAAAAAAATAGAACAATGTTAAACATTTTTTAAGCGGATAAAGCTTCATAGATCTTATTAAAAAAGAAGTCTTTTAAGGGGATGTATTAAAGCGTTTTATGACTTCGTGTTTTTTATTTCACTGTTGTGTATAATTTTCAATTTAATTAAAAAAAAAAGTATTATGAGAGATAACGCGATCGTTGGGATACGTTAATATTTTCTCCTTTCTTATTCGGTTGTAAGAAGTACGTGCCGGTTCGTTCAGCCAACAAACGGCACATATCCGAATAATCATCAATTTTACAATACGAACTGTTATAATATTTTTTTTATGTATTTTTAAATCGCGCCATTGGATGATCGATGCTCCTCAAACGATAAGTTAAAAAAAAAAAAAAAACGAATAAAGAAAAAAAAAGACGGCCAAAAGAAGTATATTAAATTTTTAAATCCAAGGAGATCCCGTTTACTATTAATCGAAAAGGCTTCGACGATGGCGTGCGAACTTGACCGTGCGCACGCGAAAGAATTCGCGTTATAGTCGCGCAAAAATACGCGCACACGCACTTGCGTAAAGCCCGATAAACTCGACTAGCATAATCCACGTGAGCATGCGCCATCGCACAAAACGATCGACATCTCGCGAGCATGAAAAGCATTATCTTGCATTATGTCGCGCGCACGCGTTCTAAATAAACTCTGACGAGGCTAGTTTCGGCTTGTGCGCGCATGCGCCGTGCGCTTCCTATTATGCAAATCTGTTAGCCCTCCTCGTGCACGTGTTACGTGGAACTTGGTACATGTGGCGTAGAGTACGTGTGTAAGGCTCGTTTTGCTGCCAACTGCTTCATTGACGAGCTGATGGGCAATTACAGCGACTGGCGGATATCGTGTATTAAATGTCGTGGTCTTGGATTTTTTTTTTCAGCTTGAAAATTGAATGATGAATAAAATTCAGCGTAGCTCGGAATACTAAAAGATTCCTACATCCGTAAATAATAATTAAAGGAGTGAAAATCCATATGTTTAAGTGTCGATATCATTCGTTGCAAAATTACTTCAAAGTAATTCTTCTTTTATTCCTTCTTTGCAATAGTCAATAAGTACAGAGATTGATAAAGGATGTTCATACAAGGTTCATTACTCTCGGAATAAGTGCGTTTTAATTGCTAGTACAATTCGAGCACGAATAAATTACAATAATTTAATAGATAACTGGACTAGCGCTGTGCTTAAAATTGCCGATTATTTTTAAATCGAAGCATTCCACTGCATCATCAAGATCCACTTATTTCAAATTACGTTCGTTTTCTACTTAAGAAGCGATTCGCAAAAATTATATCCATATCGGATAACTAATCGATTTTCTAATGCAAAAAATAATCAGTGGACCTAAATGTAGCGGCAATTGCATTTATCGAAGTGGAAGATTTCATTGGCATTACGAAGAAAAATCTTAATTTAATAGAATATAGTTCGTCGAAAGAAAAAAAAGTAAAAATAAAAGAAAAAACAAGATTAATATGCGATGTCGTGCGGCGTTCAATTTTCTCGAGAATGTAGTGCAAACCAACAATTTACTTATCAACTTGTTTGAGAATCCAATTTATTTAATAGAAGGTGAATAAAATCCGAAAGACGACGTACGAACCATCGGACAACTCGCGAATCAAAGCCAGGAAGCACAACACATGCCGCTCGTTATGGACAAAGAACTTTTGAATGCGCTTGCGCGTCGTTGATCCTGACGACGGATACGACGAGAGTGTGATCCCGGGTGAAAAAGTCTATATCCTCCCGAGCTTCCATACATTTGCAGGCGTTTATTTTGAAAAGGACGGCGTACGTTTTACCGAGAATTGCGCTTAGCTTCAACAACTCAACACTCGGATACGTGTGTGGCGTGGAGAATTGCCCTTTTCCGGGAAAACGGAGACGGTTGAAAATCGATTTTCCATTTTAATTGAAGACTCCATGCTCAACGTATTATGTAACTTGAGATTGGAGCATTCTGCGCTACTATTGATTACTCGTGCCTTCTTATTAAAATTGGAATAGGAATTTTGAAAAATTTTATTCCTTCGCGTTGTCATATACTTTGAAAACATTACATATTTGCGTCACAGCGTGCCATATTATTAATGACGCTTCTTTTATTTTCTTTTTATTTTCATTCCTTATGTTATTAGTCAGATTTCTGCTGTTATTCGATTGCAGGAGAATTGAGTAATTATATGTAAAAATAATTATTTATATTGATAACATTTTTTTTTTTTCGATTTCTTTCAAACGATTCTTTCATATCGTTTCACATAGAAGCGAAGTATATTTTTTAAAAAAAATTTTTTTTCCTTTATGATTTCTATTTTTATAAAATATCTTACATTATGCAATTATTAGGAAAATGTTAAATAAAAATATAATAATAATCATGGTTTAAAACAGTGTATTATATCGATATATTATTATAAGCAAAATGAAAGAGTATTTATTATTATCGGTAGCAAACATTATATACAGTAGACTTACAGTTATAAACATTACTCTGCACGTTATATGTTACTTAAAACAAAGATAGTTATAACACTTTTATGGTATGTAATGCAATATTCTCTGATCTATGATTATAATACCGATGTTATGTTGTTGAGTCTGCCGCTGTCATCAACGTAATATTTTCATTAGAACTTAATTCTATTTTACAAAAATTCTGTTCATCATAAAAGCTGTGATACATTTTCATTGCGCAAAGCAAAATAAATTATAAATACTTATCTGCTCTAATATAACGAACAAAATTAGTCATTCTTAATATATAAAATAATTATTGCGCTTATTTATTATTCAATTGTTGATATGTTATTGCATTAGGATTAAATAAAAAGAGCTGTGCGGATAATTTAGATAACATCGATTAATATGATTGAGAAACATATTATCCTTGCTTTATCATAGACTAATTAGATTCTTAAACATTATATAATAATGACAAATGTGTCTTCCGGCATTCCCTAATTTAAATTTATTACGAAACATAATATCGCACAATTAGTAAAAAAAAAAAAAAAAAAAAACTGAAAGTACAACACACCTTGCATGCATTGTACTCTCGCTATATGTAAATCAATGATTGCATTACCAAGTGATTCACGATAATTGGCACAAGTGTGCACGTTAAATTACTTGCAAAAGTTATTATTAAAAAAATGCAAAAGAAAAAATATTCACGTGCATATGGCTTTGCGCTCGTGCGCCGACATCGCCAACTTCCACTTAACGTGTCTCTGTTCTCGCACCGCAACACCCACGCAAAGTATCGTCTGTTTTCTCAACGACACGCGAGCTTACGTCCCGTATTCTCGATGGAGATGAAAAAAGAGGTGTCGTACTCTCCTTTCATGACTCATGCTGAGCCAAAGAATCGATGAAAAAACAATGAAACCACAAGGCGGCCTGAGGAGTAAGGTGGGATTTGGGGGGGGGGAGAAGGAGACGTTGGATTATAGACTCTCTTTCGCGACAGGCTATCGCGAGGTTCTTGATCGACAGGGAAAAATGGAGCTCTTGTTTTTCTATGGTGATTTATCATGTGATTATCGTCGAGGGTCTTAATTTAATTATCGTCCTACCACTTTTCCCGCTGAAGACTTGGATTTGTTACTTTTTAGTTCTGCATTGCTTTGGTATGGTAATTACAATGGTCATTAGACGCTCTCTCGTTACGAATTATCTATCTCATCACTTGCGCTTTCATTTAGGAATTATTTAAATTACAAATATTAAATTCAATTTATTAAATGAATAATTACAGTAAATAAATGTCTAAAAAGAACCTTTTATTTCTATAATTACAAGATCCTAGAATTGTTTCTGTTATAGGATTATTCATCACAGTTATTATTCACTTTGTTAATTTCTTTAATTTTCATTACATAAAAAAAGGAAAATATGAACATCTCAGAGTATCCAATCAAATTATTCTTAATATAAAAATATAGTGAAAAATATTTTGCATTATCGTTACTTACTGTCAATTACAATAATAAACCATTCGATTTATTTATCTTCGAAGATGCACTAACGATTTCTTTATTGAAAAGCTATTTCATTTTTTATAAATCATTAAGGAATCATTAATTGTAAGTGATTATCATCTCGGGAAATGTTTTTCCTTTCGTATAGTTACTGTAAGCGTGTAAAATGACGGGCATAAATTTTTCGTTTACACAGGCCTAGACTGGGTAATTTGATATATCGTTACATCTATATTTGAAAACGAATCTATCGCGGCTGACGCAAGATGAAAATTACAGGCTATCAAAGAAAGAATTCTCCTTATAAACAATAAATACACCTCTAATACGCAACTCACTCGTCCCGTTAAAGTAATTATAAAACAGCGAAAATAATTAGCTCGATAAGCAGCAGCCCACAAGCATAATTAGCGCCGTGAGTCGCGCATAGTCTGCGTTGTGTAAACAAACTTGTCAAAGAGCCACGAGGGAACTTTCCTTCCCTGAGAACTTTCCCCCTTTCCCGTTCCCTTTCCCCATTCGTTCCCGGGCCACTCCTCACTCAAAAATTCGGGATTGCAATATTTGCAGAAGCGAGGACAGCGCCGTGAGTAGCAACAGCGGCATCATCGAGATCGTGTCAGGGAGGGAGGATAGCCATCGGAGATTCGAGGATGATTATGTGAGACCGTATTACGACCTTACCGTGCGCCCGGTAATAAGAAAGCAATTTCATCAACTCGATGATGATCCGCCTATATACTGATATCCTCATCATTGGCCGAGTAACATCGCGCCTTCACCTTCGAATTATCGCAAGAGTTCACGAATGACTGCACAAAGGAACAAGTGACAATGCCACTTAAAATTCTATGTCATTTTTTCTACGAAATTACTAATTTTTAATAAACAATTTCAACACTTTTAGAAACGCATTTTATCTGTAAGTACATCGATTGTACCTGCATAAATTGTGTTATTATTGCGATGATAATTTTGAAATAATTCCATATTTACCACGATGTAAAAAGAGTATTAGAGAGTTGTTCACGTGATTGTAGAAATATCGATAAGAAGTTTTATTTTATTTGTAAACTTAATGTTAAGTATCGGCATCTGTAGTTTTAACAAATTAAGTGCTAATCGTAGATAAAGAAAGCGTACATTATAGCTGGGCTAATTTAGTATTGAAAACTGACTTGTATTTCCTGATTTCGTTTATTTTATGTTTTTTTTTTGTTTTGTTTTTTGTTTTTTGTTTTTTGTTTTCGAAGCATTTAAAGAGGTTAGAATTTGTTTAGCAATATTTATAGAAAGTATCTACGAAATAAAAATAAATTAAGAAAGTGGAAAAGAGTTGAAGAAAAAAAAAAATACAATTACGTAAATAAATACTTTTATGTTTGTTATTATATCGATTATACAGCAAAACTTTTTAATCCGATAGCGCAAATATACTTTTATTTTCATAAAATATCTATTTCTTGTTAATTTACAAATCTTAATTTAACTGATCAAGATAACGTGATTATAAAACTTTTTCCAACTTAATCAATTACACAGCATAAAATGAAACTTAAAAACGAAGATTTATTAATAGAGCAGATTGGATATAATTTTAAACTAAGTAAGCCTCTATATAATAAAACTTGTTTTAAATCGTCAAAACACGGTAATGTAATTTGCTTACGATTTAATAAAACCATAATCATCGTGTTCGGTTTAAAATACAATCGCGTACATACATGTCTTTAAAGAAAAGTAATATATTAATAGGACACCAAACGGATAGAATATCAGGAAAGTGATGTACACACGCACACAATTAATATAGGAAAAGAAAAATTATGGTTAAATGTTGGGCAATATAGTAAATTTATTACAATAACATCTATCACAATATTTCCCATGTAAAATTATAATTGGATTTTAATAACTGTGAATTATTGCTTAATTGGTAATGAGTAACGACACTTTATCAGTGAACAATATATTTTTATAATATTATAGCCAAAATCAGCGTTTTATCTTTTAATGTTAATTTCAATGTTATAAGGCCTTTGTAAGTGGACTAAAATTGTTATTGATGTATAAAAGAACAGTTTTCATCTCTTTTTTTTTCATTTTTCTTTTTTTAATATTGCACAATATGAAGTTTATATTAATATTATTTTTGCTCATCATTTGGATGAGATTGAATAATTCCTTTTCAACTTATCGAATTTTAACTGTTTATATGATAGTTGAGCCAAGTGCTGAAGTTGACTTCTTTTTTTTTTTTTTTTTTTGATAACATAAACCCACACATGACATTTATTCCTAATCCAATATCATTGAGTTTTCAATTCATAAAGTAATTATCTTTCTTTTATCTCTTTTAAACAAAAATAAATATTCGGTCTAGTATTTTATGTTTACGCGTGAAAATATGACACAAGGTATTTATATAATGGCGCTATTTGTATGAAAGAAAATAAATTAATCAATCTTACAATACATGTGTACAAATAAATGCCCGATGTTTTAACATAAATTCTGCATTAAAAAGAAAATAATAAATAAGTTAACGAAATAATAATAATAATAATAATAAGTTAACGAGCAGTTTCCGCATTGTCGTTAAATAAGCTGATAATGAAATTCAAATGACATTAAATAAGTATAATGAATAGAAAAATATTTGTTGCCGCGAGCCCTACTTACATACTCTTTTCAACGTTAGAAGTAGAAATTTTGGTCAACAGCGCGGATCTTCTGTCATCGCACATCTTATTAAGGTTTCGTAAGTTCCGTTGCTTTCGCGACTTAATTATCGCAACTCGCCGCTTCTCAAATGCCAGGCTCAACAGAAACACAAATTGAAGGTACAGCGCAGCTTCGAGATTCGTTAGAAAGCGCGAGATTACTCGTGCGCACATTGCCGACTGTCGTCCGACACTTTACTCGCCAAGCGCTTCTTTCCGTTATAATGGAGCGCGCGCGTCTCGTCGTCGACCTTTTCCAAGTGCGCCTGGCGCCAGGAGAATTCTTACACGACGGAAGTCGAATCCGCTGTTGTCCGGTACTTCGAAGATGTGCGCATGTATTAGTTGGCAAATTGTAGATCGGTGGGATAACTGTACGATGTGCGCGACTGCGATTACTCTTGTTCGTCCGAGTTTGAAGGCAATGGTAAGAAACTCGGCTTGCGCAGATCTGCGATGGAGGGGCTGGGGGGGGGGTGAGGACAGAAGGAAGCTTTTCATATCAAACATCAGTACTACCTTAAGAATTCATTAATTCGATATGATAAACTGCTACAGTTTTTCAATTATTTGCCCCTTTCAATAATTCTGATCCCATCAGACTGGTAATTTAAAAGTTTAAAGTACGCGCTTTGCGAAATGTTGCGATGTAACTTTTTACTTTCCCCAAGGCAGGAGCTGGATATGATGGCGCACCTAATTTAATCAAACGTTTAAGATAAATCACATTGAATAGCTTACGATTTGAACGATAATTAATATATTAGTTTTCTATTGATTACAGTGCGTATTAATATTCTAAAAACATCGCGTTATCCATAGTAGACAATTATAATGATTATAAATATGCTTTATGATAGATATATGAATATTTGGATAACATACTGTCACTTATTCATTAGTATTTATTCTTTCGTTTCTTTTTCTAAAAAAAAGTAGTTTCTAAAAAAAAGAGCAGATCGAACCTTCTTAACATTTTACATAGAATGAAATGTAATTGATGAAACGGATGTTCGTGAACTTAAAAATATTGCGTTTGAATTAAACGTATTGAATTCTTTAATTAATGATATTTTATTTTACAATAATTCCATTTAAAATATCCATTATCCGAAAATAATTATATTAAATTTTTTTTTTAAATTTTTTTTATCATAAATTAAAAATATTTAGATAATAAATACGGTCTTGATATTTGAAAAAATGAAAAATATCGCTTGACCTTTAATAAATAATTTTGATAATAATAAAATTATAACCGATTTATTAATAATTAAGCCAAGTGTTTGATATTTCCCAAATTAGAGACCAATTTGTTACGATAAAATTATTATAATATAGCTTTGTTTTAAAAATTTGACATATTATATAAATTTTAATATATTTGTCGGATGAAAAACAAGAATTTATTATCATTTTATTATCGTTTCCAATCACTTTACTAATATTAATCTTTAGTGATGATATATAATTAAACTGTTGGGATTGATTTTAATATTCATTTGTGACATTGATTGAAACGAAAATCTATTGATTTAAATAGAAATGTACGTTCGTACGTTGAAAATTCGATAAATAATAGTAAAATATAATAAATAATAATAAATAATAATGAATAATAATAAAAAAATTTATTTAAAATAATAAATTATTTATTATTATTTAATTTTTATTTATTTAAAATTTATTAATTTATTTACTTAAATTTATTTACGAATTTATCAATGTATAGTAGCTTACGATAGTCTGATCGAGCAATATTAATGTTCAATCGATTGTTGACATCGATTACTAATTATTTTTCTCGTGTAATAGTATTGTGCTTCACGTAAATTGATGATTAACATATGTATAATAAATCTATTACTTGTTAAAAAATAGCACTTCATGCTATTTATTTATGTTGTTTATTGTATTATGTTTATATATTGAAGTCTAGATGTATGGTTTGCACGATAACATCGTTGACATTATCTTATTAATGTCTATTTTTTAATTGATTGATTCTTCAAAAGTATTACCGCACTTTTTCAACGGAACTTTATATATAAAAATTTTCCATCCTTAATTTTAGTAATTATTTTAATAGATATATATATATATATAGTGAAATATATCGAACAATGATTATAATTGTTTTTTTATTCAACTCATTGAGATTATTATATGTTACCAATATGTATACATACCACCCATACATTCGAATACAAATTTTTAATCGAAGTTTAAAGTCACATAATTACGCAATTAAATCCAATTTGTACAACATAAAAGTCGGTATTATCCATAAGTATTTTTAATGAATTAAATGAAATAAACAATTCATTTTCTAAACATATAAATATATAAAAATAAATATTTATTTTAAAATATCGTTGTATTTTAAATATTTTTAATACTACTTATTGCCAGAAGATTATGAAATAGTTTGAGGAAGATTAAAAAAAAAAAAAAAAAAAAAAAAAAAACATGACAAAGAAAATAAGTTTTAAATATATGCGTGGAAAAAAAGAAAGTAGAACATTTAATACCTTCCAAACAGTGGCTGTAAAATAATATATAAAAAAAAAAAAATAATATTTGTAAGATAAGAAAAGAAAAAGAAATTAAATACAGTACGAATGAAATTTTTCTAAGCATTTACATTCGGATATTCAAATTTTTCATTAAATTGAAATCGTTTATTCAACTAAAAGCCAAGCTAAAATTATATACTTTTAAGTAAATATGAGAAGAAAACGTGTGTTTTGTTACCTATAATTTAGCGAAGATCGAAAGATATTATTTATTTTAATATACCAATTAAATTTTAACAAAAACTTTTCGTAAAAAATTCTAAATAGATTTTTTTTTTCTTCGCCTCTCAAATAATAGGCGTATAATATTTTATTTACTTCATATGAAACTGCTGAAACGTAAATAAGTGTAAAAGCGATGATTGATGTAGTGAAAACATCATCGACGTGCTTGTAAATATGATTCATAGCGTCGCATCTAATTCTATGCGCTTGGGGAGCTCGAGAAATCAACAAATTGATGTAGCTCCATTGCGGATTTCACTTTCGCAATAGAATCCATCAAAAAAAAAATTAAAAAAAAAATATATATATAT